AAAAAGATCATTCAAAGCGGAAAACTTTAATTTTTTTCCCACTCCTTAATATTAACACTAAATGCGAAGGGGGTAGTTTCTTAAAAGTTTTAGCTTTGCATTTTATTTGAATCCCCAGTGGCTTTATTCACATCAAATTTTAATTATTTTCGGAAACTTTTATTTCTTATCAACCCCTAAATGTTAATCACAAAATCAGGGGAAGGCATTTTACACCACCTTTTTAACAATGGTACCAATCCGGTAACATACCTTATCAAACAAAAAAAATCATTCAAATCGGTTGAGATATACCGAAGTAATCGCTGGACAACATACATAAAGATAGAATAGAATTGATAACTTTCTCTTTTTTTGAAGTCGGTTAAAAATACATGAAAAAGCCTCGTTTAAAAAGAAACATTCTGTATAGAAGCTATTTAAATATTTCTTGAGAGAAACTGAATATTTTTTAATTATTCTACTCACTTCACTTTTATAACACTACACAAGGCCCGGTAAACAGTAATTGTATTATAACGCACTCTATTTCACTAGCAACCAATCTGCGAGGCAATTATTACATAAATAAAACAATAGAACTGCCTTTTTTCCTTTTATAATCTCGGTTAAAAGCGTATGAAAGCTTGTCAGGACTGATTTTTCACGCCCGCCCGCGTTATCATACACATTTCGACAAATTAAGACACACGGTAAAAAATTCTATTACAGCACTTTGTTTGTCTATACATGTATTTAAATTATAATAAAAAGAGCGATTTTGCTTACGTTTTAAGCTATTTTTAAGTGGGAATTTATTATGCTTGTGAGCGGTTTCCTTGCATTTGAAATATTTTGACATTTAAAATACTTACAAGTTCGTAAACATAAATATATTATTAATATACAAGGTGTCCAGCCTTAATGTGACCCAATAGCTAATTCCCGAACCTTTCGGTTTAGATATGCACTTCCAATTTGAAAAATGTTTTAAAAAAGGTAAAAAATGTTTTTACGTGCTTTTCGAACCAAAAAACCCATTTACAAAAAAATTACAAAAATTAAATTTTTATACGGTCCCCACAGGTCCTATTACTTGTATTTAGGAAAAGATGCAGTACACAAAAACAAAGTAAACACAAAAAGTTTCATTTTATTACGATAAAAACTGGCCGAGTTATGGAACTTTAAAAATCATACATTTCATCCATTATCTCCACCATTTTCAAGAAGCTAGTAAGGAGCCGTCTCCAAAGAGAAATTAATTGGAACTCTGCCTGGAAACTTTCGCTCTTGCATGTCACTCTTATGTAAATCGTTTTTAAATTTAAAAGTACATACATTACGTTAATAATACAAAAATTGAGTACTTAAGAAATAAAATTTATTTTGTGTACGTGTAAAACATAGACAAAATAAAATATTTTGGACGAAGAAAACATTTTAAAAGCAGTTCCAAAAAACTAGACTGATTTGCTGCGGTACTGATCTTGGCGAACGTTAAAAATCTGTTGTGTAGTCGTTTGCAATTGCATACAGTCGTATTCTATTGTTACGAATTCTAGTAAGGGAGAACGAGATGTATACAAATGAAGAATACTGTGAAATGGTACTGTTGTATGGGCAGTGTATTCGAAATAAGAGAGAGGCGGCAAGACTTTATGCCATGAAATTTCCCAGTGGAAGACATCCATCTTATTGTACAATTGCCCGTGCTGTTCAACGCTTGTATAAAACTGGGAGTTATCATAAACGTATTCCCTTGTCTCGTGCCACACCTTCAAGCTTGCGGATACCCACTGATGATGTTCTTGGATATACCCTGGTTCATTCTGAAAGTAGTGTCCGGGATATTAGCAAGGCTTGTTCCTACTCAAAATCGGAGGTGTGGAACATATTACATACGTACGGTGCATATCCTTATCGTCCAGTCCTGGCGCAGGAACTAATGCTCGGAGACCAGGAGTGTCGTTTTAATTTTTGCAATTTCGTGTTAAACACACTGAATGAAAATCCAGACTTTTTGAATGAAGTTTTGTGGTCGGATGAATGCCAGTTCTCGAGGCAAGGCATTATTAATACACAGAATAGGCATTATTGGCCCCTTGAAAACCCACATCTAATACGACCGAATCGCCACCAAGTGCGTTGGTCGGTGAATGTGGGGAGCGGAATATGGAAGAGCGCCTTAATTGGCCCAATGTATTTCGATAGACCTTTAACATCAGAATCATACACGGAAATTTTATCTGGACCGTTAGCCGATTTCTTAGAAGATGAAGTTTCCTTAGAGGATTTGTCACGCATGTGGTACCAGCATGAGGGTGCACCCGCACACAAATCTGCGCAACCATGTACATTTTTGGCGCAGACGTTTGACACTCGAATAATCGGCTACGGAGGTCAACAGGAGTGGCCCCCGCTATCACCCGACCGAAGTCATCTGAATTTCTTTCTCTGGGGCTTCCTAAAAAGCAAAGTGTACGAACGTGAATCCACGAGTAAATCCAATTTACTCAATCTAATCAGCATGGCATGCAGGTCTGTGACACCAACTATGTTGTAGAAGCTACAGGCGGAGTTTCTGACGCGGGTTTGGTACTGCATTTTTGCGGAAGGCAGTCATTTTGAACATTATTGAAGTTAATTTGGTCATTCTGATATAAGAAAGCCCCTGATTCATGATTGGTACATCATTCCACGTTATGCTATAATTTGAACAGCAAATCCTGTATTCTTTTGCTGCTATTTGTTAAAACAAGCTGTTTGTCAATCTATGATGTTTACTACGATGTTTTAATATTACTATGACGTTTTCTTTTGCTCTTTCTGTAGGTAGTGAATTACTGCCATCTAAGCTCAATTTATATACGACCCCCTTTTCTGAGCAATTCAGATGCTTCAACTTTATGTAGGCATAACTTGGTCAATTTTTATCGTAATAAAATGAAACTTTTTGTGTTTAATTTGTTTCTGTGTACTACATCTTTTCCTAAATACAAGTAATAGGACCTGTGGGGACCGTATAAAAATTTAATTTTTGTAATTTTTTTGTAAATGGGTTTTTTGGTTCGAAAAGCACGTAAAAACATTTTTTACCTTTTTTAAAACATTTTCCTAATTGGAAGTGCATATCTAAACCGAACGGTTCGGGAATTAGCTATTGGGTCACATTAAGGTTGGACACCCTGTATATGTATATATATATATATTATTATTATTAAAATTCAACATATATTAATTTTTCATAAGATTTAAATGAATCTTGGTTTATTTTCTTCCTAAACTAGATAATTTTACAGCCAATTTGCCGCCTTCTAAGATTGCCGCCCAGGGCAGGGGCCCGGCTTGCCACCCCTAGCACCGGCCCTGCTACGACATCCATACGGACCGTTCGAA